GCGTGTGCGTGCGTGCCCAAGATCCCAAGAGGAGAATGGAGGAGAAGGGATTGCGGCGTGACCATCCCCCCTGGGGGGTGATTTCTCGCTTTCTGTCTCTATGTCTCTCTCTGTCTGGCGAGTGCACGCGCCCTACAGTGAAAATCTCTCCTAAATAAATAAATAAATAAATAAATAAATGAAAGAAAGGACTGCAGTGTGACCAATTCCCCGGGAGTGATTTCTCACTTTCCCTCTCTTTCTTTCTCCCTCTTTCCATCTCTGTCTCTCTTCGGTGAGTACCTGCGCCCTGTAGAAAGGTTAAAAAACGAAAAGAAAAAAACTGTGATGGGCCAGCCAGGTGGTATGATGGTAAAGGTGGCTGGATCCCACATGGCTGAATACATGGTTCAAGTCCTGGACCTGGCAGTTTGGAAAATACACCAGGTGTGTGTGCGTACATGCCCAAATCCCAAGAGGAAAATGGAGAGGGGATTGCAACGTGGTCATCCCCCTGACGGTGATTTCTCACCTTCCCCCTCTCTATCTCTCTCTGGCAAACATGCACACCCTATAGGAAAAACAAACAAAAACTGTGATGAGGTTTGGTGAGGGTAGGAGTCACAGACTTTCATACGCTGCTAGCAGGAATACAAACTAGCACAATCTTTCTGAAAGCTGTTGTGTATTACACATTGTTAGGGTTTGGGATGCCTCCCCACAGTGGCTGGGACTTGGTTATATTGTAAGGGCATTAAATGAAAATTAAACCCCTCATAGGTGTGATAAGGTCATTAGGGTGGAGCTCACATGACTGAGTTCTGATAGGTTTATAGAAGAGGGGAAAAAAGACCAGGACAGATAGAAACTTAGGGACAGCCACTCTGCTCAAGTTCCCGCCCTCTGTCATGTTGTAGCCTTCCCAGAAGTTGGCCCCTGGATCTTGGACCTCCAAACCATGTGCTGAATAAACTGTCCCTATAAATCACTGTTTCAGTTATCTCTATGGCAACACAATAGCAGACTGATGCACACATACAAAGATGAACAATATGTGGCGACTACTTGATCTAGCAATTTTCTCATAACATGTAACCATTGAAAAGTATGCTGGGACCAGCAGATGGCATATGGTTATGTTGCTGGACTCCCACATGGCCAACTGAGGTTTGAATCCTGGATGCAGTGGTTTAAAACTCACACTAGAAGGGCCGGGAGGTGGCATGGTGGTTAAAGGCGCTAGATTCTCACGTGGCCAACTGCAATTTGAGTCCCAGACCTGACAGCTTGCTTTCTCCCTTTCACTCTATATATTCCTCTGGTCAAAATTAAAAATAATAGGAAACCAGCAGTTAACATAATGGCTATGTCACTGGATTCCCACGTAGTCGACCACGGTTTGCATCCCGGACCCGGTGGCTTAGAACTCAGGCCGGGCGCAGGTGCGTGCGTGCCCAAGATCCCAAGAGGAGAATGGAGAAGGGATTGCGGCGTGACCATCCCCCATGGGGGGTGATTTCTCGCTTTCTGTCTCTATGTCTCTCTCTGTCTGTCTGGCAAGCGCACGCGCCCTATAGTGAAAACCTCTCCAAAAAAAACAAAAATAATAATTAAAAATAATAATAAAAAATGGAAATAAATCATTATTTTTTTTAATTAAAAAAAAAATCTCACACCAAGTGCATATGCATGTGTGCCCAAAATCCCAAGAGGAGAATGGAGAAGGAATTGAAGCATGCCCACTACCCCAGGGAGTTATTTCTCACTTTCTGCCTCTCTGTCTCTGTCTCTCTGGTGAGTGCACACACTCTACAGCAAAAATCTCTCTCAAAAAAGACAAGAAAGAAAAGTATGCTACATAATCAATGACAACCAATAAACATACCAGGTTTCTGTCGGCGTGGCCTTCTCTTTACTCGAGGACCAACTCCTTGTCCTTCCTTCCAACCCATTTTTCTTAGCAATTCAAAACCAATAGATACTCTAGGACAGCAAGACATCGAAATAAGCATCTTTGTGTAACACTGGTAGCAGCATGGAATAAGCAGCTCCTGAGTTCCTGCCCAGCTCCTAAGCCTGTCTTGCCTGGCCTCTTTTCCTCATCCGCATTAGAACTGTGTGACCCCTTTGTTCTGGCCACACCTGAACTGTGAGGGGCAGATGGGAACTTTAGATAGTCTTTGTCAAGCATGTGGCCTGGGGAATCATGAAGGTCTGTGGCTGCCACATCAGGCTGTGTGCCCAGGAGCAGACCGAGGAGGTCAGGCCACACCCCAGGAGCAGACCGAGGAGGTCAGGCCATACCCCAGGAGCAGACCAAGGAGGTCAGGCCATAGCCCAGGAGCAGACCGAGGAGGTCAAGCCACACCCCAGGAGCAGACCGAGGAGGCGTGTAGAGAGACAGGGTAGAATGGGGCAGACAGGAGAGCACCCAGAAGGCCTGTGAGGGAGGTGGGGAGGGATGTCACCACAATTCCTGACTACTCTCTGGTCTCTGAGCACCAGCAACATGGCCAGTGGCTGGAGCTCCAGCTCTGCAGGTAGCAAGATTCTTTGGGCAAAAATCCTCCTTTTCTCTGAGACGTTTAGTAGAATAAGGCTTCTCTTACTTGCAACCCAACTATCCCTAAGAACAACATCACACATATGCAAGCCCGATGCCAAGATTGGGACAGCCAGAACGAAATTCTCACTTTGCAGGCGTTATGAAGTCATCAAGCAGAGTGGCTCCAGGAATAGGGGCAGTAGCGGCTGCCAGCTGCCTGGCCTTTTCTCGTATGCGATCTTTGGTTTTGGATGCAAAATCGTCTGTGGTAACAATCGCCTTAGGTGCTATCCCAAATTCACTGAGGTCCTTCAGGAAAACAATTCAAACAGGGTTATATTGTTTGGAAGGTGATTAAAGAGTACATCAAATAGCTTTATTTTTTTTAAACATTTATTTATTTATCTATTTATTTCTTGTGATTTTTAAGCTGCTGGGTCCTGGACTTGAAACAACCGTGTGGGAATCCAATGCCCCAGCCACCATACCACCCACTGGCCCATCTCTTTATTTCTTTAAGAAAAAAGTTAAAACTATAAAATATTTTTTAAAGAATTACTTTTTTTAACTTTATTTTATTATTATTATTATTATTATTTAATATTTCCAGAGAGAGACAGAGAGAGAGAAAGTAAGAAAGCAATCCTCCAGGTCTGGGACTTGAACCAAAGTCACCCATGTGGGAGTCCAGGGCCCTTAACCACCATGCCATCTGCTGGCTCCTAAAACTACAAAATTTAACTCAGGATCAGCAGAATGGTAGAACTCATACTGATTTTAGAACCGCATCCTCGCATAAGGCAAGGCCACTGGCTGAGGGCAAACCATGACAGTGGCTGCTCATTGGAACCACAGTTAAGCACTGTTGGTCCTGTAAACCGTTATTTTGATCCCCTTCTTCTAACCAAGGACTGCTTTAAGAATGGACACTTGGGACCAGCAGTTAGCATAATGGCCATGTTGCTGAACTCCCATGTAGTCGACGGTGGTTCAAGTCCCGGACCCGGTGGCTTAAAGTCATGCCAGGCGCATGTGCGTGCGTGCCCAAGATCCTAAGAAGAGAATGGAGGAGAAGGGATTGCGGCATGGCCATCTCCCCGGGGGATGATATCTCGCTTTCTTGTATCTCTGTCTCTCTCCATATATCTGGCGAGCACACACCACCTATAGCAAAAACCTCTCCAAAAAAAAAGAATGGGCATGTAGGCCCCCCAGGGGGTGATTTCTAGCTTTCTGTATCTCTGGAGAGCACACACCCTATAGCAAAAAAATCTCTCTCTAAAAAAATAGATAAATAAATAAATACTTAGCCATTTTCAGAACCATCAGATGGTGAAATGGTTACATTGCTGGACTCCCACATAGACGACCAGGGTTTAAGTCCTGGAACCGGCAGCTTAAAACTCACACCAGGTGCATGTGCCTGTATGCCCAAAATCTCAAAAGGAAAATGGAGGAGAAGGGATTGGGGCATGGCTAGCTCCCCAGGTGGTGATTTCTCACTTTTTGTCTCTCTGTCTCTCAGGCAAGCACAAGCAAGCACCCACAAGCAAAAAAAAAAAAAAAAAAACCTCTAAAAAAATGTTTACTGTAAAAATTAAAATTTGTCAAAGAAATTACATGAATTTAAACCCTTGATGTTACTTGTTTCAATAAATGAAGTGGACAAATTAGGATCATGAAGCTACCTGAAAGTCCAGGTAATTTGTCTTTGTCAACTATTGTTAGCTAAGAGAAAAAAAAAAGAAAAAATTATCTCCTTATTACATTTTCTCCCTCTTTTATTAATTTTACTTAGCCCTGACAGGGACCAGTGGATGGCATAATGATTCTGTTGCTGAACTCCCATGTAGTAGACCACAATTCAAGTTTCAGACTCAGAGGCTTAAAACTCATGCCAGGCACGTGTTTGAGCAGGCCCAAAGTCCCAAGAAGAGAATGGAGGAGAAAGAATTGTGTGACCATCCCACCTGGTGGTGTTGGGGGGGGGGGTTATTTCCTGCTTTCTGTCTCTCTGTTTCTGTCCATCTCTCCAGCAAGCATATGTGCCCTATAGCACAAATCTCTTTTTAAAAAAAATGTTGAGTTAAATGGAAATTAATGGATTATAATCCAAATGTAGCTAGGTAGTTTTGTAAATACAAATACTAATTCATTAAATGCAGGCCAGTATTCTTACTTTCTATTTCAAAAAAAAAGAAATGAGAAATTATTTTATTTCTTATATATCCCTCAGTATATTTGAAACTGTTTTCTAAATCTAAAGACAAGAACATCACATCTGCTATGAGCCAATGTCTTAAGTAAAGATTCAAAGTTCGAAAGTTCGAATCAACAAATGCTCTTTCAGTCTATCGTTGATCTTACAAATATCTGTCCTAAATCTACTTAAAGGTTTTAAAGTCGAAAGTAAATTAATATATATCCATAAATACTTAGCCATTTTCAGAACCATCAGATGGTGAAATGGTTACATTGCTGGACTCCCACATAGACGACCAGGGTTTAAGTCCTGGAACCGGCAGCTTAAAACTCACACCAGGTGCATGTGCCTGTATGCCCAAAATCTCAAAAGGAAAATGGAGGAGAAGGGATTGGGGCATGGCTAGCTCCCCAGGTGGTGATTTCTCACTTTTTGTCTCTCTGTCTCTCAGGCAAGCACAAGCAAGCACCCACAAGCAAAAAAAAAAAAAAAAAAAAAAAAAAAAACTCTCTAAAAAAAGAATGGACATGTAGGATTGGCCCCAAAGCATAAGCTCCCTACAGAGGAAGCCAGATCCCACATGGCTGACCACAGTTCAAGTCCTGGCCATGGCAGCTTGAACAAGCTGGGAGTGTACATTCATGTCCAAAATCCTAGATAGAGAAATGAAGGGGAACAGATTGTATCATTATCATGCCCCATTATGGGGTGTCTTCTCCTCTCTCTCTCTCTCTCTCTCTCTGTCTCTCTCTTTGTCTCTAAATGCAAACGCATACACTCTCAAGCAAATTTTAAAAAAAAAGGAAAAGAAAGTTGTGTGTCAGACTTTCTGGGGAGAGAGACAGTACATACATACACCAGCTATCTGACAATTAAAGTTTTGTACACTCACCTCTTCATCCATAAAATCTTCAGGACCAAGGACAGATTTGTCTGCTCGGTTCTGTCGTGAAGACACAAATGTAGAAGGGGTCCATCCTAGCAAAAAAAAAAAAAGGAGTTTAGATCTTTATAATACTAGAGAGTATTTTGATCCATAATTAAGTAACATATATGGACTTGAAACTCCCAATAGCCACAGACTCCCATTTCACTGCTTACATAGACATAATTATTCCACATGAACTTTTTTTTTTTTTTTTGGAGAGGTTTTTGCCATAGGGCGTGGGCGCTCGCCCGACAAAGAGAGACAGAGAGACAGAAAACGAGAAATCACCCCCCAGGGGAGATAGCCACACCGCAATCCCTTCTCCTCCATTCTCCTCTCGGGATCTTTGGCACACATGTACACATGCCCAGCACCAGGTCTGGGACTCAAACCATGGTCGACTACATGGGAGTCCAGCGACATAGCCATTAATGCCAACTACTGGTCCCAGGGAAAGTCTACTCTTGGAGGGTGGGTGAATCAGGTTTCTGGGCCAGTCTGGAAGATATCCCCAGAGAGTAAGAGCAGCTCTCCTAGGCAACACCCTAGGCCCAGCACTTTCCCCCACTGCAGATTTCTGAAGTTTTGTCCTGTTTCTACACAGTCTTGAGCCTGTCACTCCTAGTGATGAGAAGATATTCCAGTGTATTACCTTGCCAACGTCTACTTGACTAATCCCCAGCATCTGAGCTGGTCCTGGTTTTAAATGATATGGCAGAGCTATAATTACAAAATACAGATGGGGTTGTTTTCTTTCTTTTTTTTTTTTTTAGATTAAAGTCCTCAAGTGGCATTGATGAATCAAACCACTCTCCAGAAATGTTGTCTAACACTAGCCAACAGCCTACAGTGTGTTAGTTTGCCTCTTTCTTTGGAAATCCATAATTTTTTAAAAAGATTTATTAATTAATTTATTTTTTCCCATTAGTTATGATTATTTTTTAATTTGACCAGAGAGAGACAGAGGGAAAAAAAGGGAAAGTGAGAAACCAAGCCACCAGATCTGGGACTTGAACTATGGTTGGACCTGTGGGAACCCAGCACCCTCAACCACCACACCACCTGTTGGCCCCAGGAATTCATCATTTTTTACCATCTCACTAGGGATGCTACATTAATGGTGTCTTAGTTTGTTCGTTCTTTCTTTTTTTTCTTTTTTCTTTTTTTTTTTTTTTGCCAGAGGACACATGCACTTGCAAGAGGCAGGAGGGAGCACACCCCAGTGAGATGTAGTCATGCTACAAATCCTTCTCCATCTCACCCAGTCAGGATCTTGGACATGCATGCACACATGTGTTTATCAAGCCATCAGGACTGGGATTCAACTCATACAGTCATCCATGTGGGAACCGGCTCCCTTAATTACCAAGCCACAGGCCTGGCCCTCAGTTTGCTTTTCTTAATATAAGGCTAGGGGAACCTAGCACAGAAGATAAGCACTGTATATAGGGACCCGGATTACACATGGCAAACTGTGGTTCGAATCCTGGCCTGTGACTTGAAAAATACACCAGGCATATATGAATATGTGTCCCAAATTCTGACAAGATGGAGAACTGGAGAAAAACTTGAACATGACCATGCCACATTAAGAGGTATTCTCTCCTCTCTCTCTCTTTCTCTCTGGCAAGGGCATATGCCTTCTGGCAATAAAAACAAAACAAAACAAAAAATCTGGGGGCCAACAGGTGGCTTAGCGATTAAGGTGCTGAACTTCCACATGAACTACTACAGTTCAAGCCCTAGACCCAGCACCATGAAACTCAAGCTGGGCACATGTGTGTGTGTACCCAAAAACACAAGAGAAGAATGGAAGAGAAGGGACTGTAGTGTGGCCATTCCCCCAGTGGGGTGATTTCTCACTTTCTCTTTTTCTGCCTCTCTCTGTCTCTCCAACAAGCATATGTGCCCTATAAAAATCTCTCCAAAAAATATATTTTTTTTTAAGACTGAAAGTTCCGCATAGCATTTCTATCTCTTCTGAAGTAAACTGTTCAAATACTTTGACTATTTGCTCATTGGGGACTATGATCTTTACACATTCTGGGTATTGAACTCCAAACAACTTATTTACCCCTATTAACTCTTGTTGCTTTTTTTTTTCTTTCTTGTACTGTTTTTCATCTTTATTATTATTGCTCAGCATAAGATTTTTAAAAATATATATATATATACACATACACACACACACACACATGCACACGCATACATTTACATATATATATATACATATATGTATATATATAAATGATCCACCTATCTTTTTCTTAATAATTACCACATAAGGGGAGTAGCAGGTGGTGCGGTGGTTAAGGTGCTGGACACTCCCCCATGGCTGATGACAGTTTGAGTCTTGGACCTGGTGGTTTATTTTCTCTCTCTCCCTCTCTCTCTCTCTCTCTCTCTCTCTCTCTCTCTCTGTGTCTTTCTCTGGTCAAATTAAAATAAAAGAATTAATAAACAAAATGAAATAATTCTTTACCAAAAAAATAATAATGATCACTGCATGAGTAAATCCGTTCATTTTCCATTCATAACTGAGGAATATAAAGTAATTTTCTTCCAGTTCGAAAACTTCTTCCAGGTTTGGGAACCAGCAGTTAGCGTAATGGTTATGTCACTGGACTCCCACGTAGTTGACTGCAGTTCGCGTCCCGGACCCAGTGGCTTAAAACTCACACCGGGCACGTGTGCGTGCGTGCCCAAGATCCTGAGAGGAGAATGGAGGAGAAGGGATTGCGGCGTGACCATCCCCCCTGGGGGGTGATTTCGCACATGAGAGGGATTGAAGTTGCGACTCCTTACAAGAATCAAACACCTGATCTCAGGTGGAGTTGAGGCAGTGAGGCTAGTACAGGGGACTGGCTGCCGGTACTGTATTATAGTGAGCTGTATAATTTATAATATATAATTTCATTATATATTACAATGTAAAAGTAGATAGGACCAGCAGATGGTGTAATGGTTAATGTTGCTGGACTCCCATGTGGTCGACTACGGTACGAGTCCCAAACCCGGCAGCTTAAAGCTCATACCAGCTGAGTGTGCATGCATGCCCAGATCCCAAGAGGAGAATGGAGGAGAAGGGATTGCAGCGTGGCCGTCCTCCCTAGGGGGGTGATCTCTCGCTTTCTGTCTCTGTCTCTCTCTGTCTGTCTCGCGAGTGCACGCGCCCCATAACAAAAAATAAATAAATAAATAAAAATAACAAGCATTGGGGGCTAGCAGGTGGTGTGGTGTTTAAAGTGCCAGACTCCCACTGGTCAGCCTCGGTTCAAGTCCCAGATCTGGCAGCTTACTTTCTCATTTTTCCTTTCTCTATAGTCAAATTAAAAAGTAATAATAATAATAATCAATAAAATTAATTCTGTCTCTCTCTGGTGACTACATGTGCCCTGTAGCAAATTATAAAATAATAATAATGATAAATTAAATGAGTACTTCTTTTTTAAAAAAATGCATTACTTTAAACAATATAGAATTTATTATATTGCATAAGGTGAAGAATCCAATAGATTTTTTTTCTCTCAGGCTGAGAACTCACACTAGTGGCCTCATTTGCAATTCACCTGTGACACCTGTTCTCCTCAGTCACTGAGCCAGTCAATGATTAACTGAGTGTATCTGTGTGAGTACTTTGTGCATGGCAAAATGCAATACGAAGTGCAAATCATTATCACCGTTTGATTATCTGGTAAGAATGTATGTGTTTTTTATAAAGTGAAAGAAACTCTTTCACCTTCAGGTTAAAGAACAATATACAAGTTGACTTGGGAAACATTCCAAATATTCAGAGAACACAAAAGATTACAATGTATGCATTAAATGTTTAAAGAAGTTTAAAAAAAAAAAAAGTGGAGGTAAGGGGGGGAATGGTGGAATCACATCTCAATTATCTGCTTTAGCAATATAACAGTTACAAATAGGAGTGCCATACCTTCTTTTGAGCCAACAGTATTGAAGTACCCAGCAGAGAATCCTCCACTAAAGGCTCCGTGAAATCGCTTATACCTTCCTTTTTCATCTCTGACAGTCTGATCCTGAAGAGGAATTGGTTTCTTTGGCCTTTCACCTGAAAAAAAAAAAAAAAGAAAAATTTTCTCCTTATAAAAAAGACAGCAGAGCATGGGAGGCTAGAAGAAATTTAGGGAAAAGGTTATTTCTAAACATAATGAATTAAGGTCATCGCAGTGGTCAAGACGCTGGACTCCCACAGGGCTGAAGGCAGTTCGAGTCCCAGACTCAGTGGCTTGAAAGTCACACTAGGCATGTGTGTGTGTGCCCAAAATCCCAGGAGAATGGATGAGAAGGGATTTGGGTGTGGCTATTCCGGCTGGGGGCGGGAGGGGGTGGTTATTTCTCACTTTCCTCTCACTGTCTCTGTCCAGTGAGCGTACACACTCTATGGCAAAGCCTTAAGAAAAAAAAATTGTTCTCTTCTTGTAACTTCAAATTTAACAATTTAAATTAAGGTGCTATTTCTAGCTCTTACAAGCGTATATAATCTAGAATGCACTAGATTTCATCAAGCTTATACTAGAAACATGTTTTAACAAAAACGGTCTGCGATTCCCACTAAATCTCATTACAACTGCCAAATTACATCAGGGCAGATAGATAGAATTGAACTCTGCGGGCAATAGAAAGGGCAAGAAGCTGCAGTGACACGGGGCAGCCCGAGGTCTGCGACAGAAGGGTCATTTCGACACCTCTTCAAGGACGTCACAGCATTTCCCAACACCAAGACTTCTTTCTTTGGTGTTGCCCAATTTTCCCAAATTTTCAGAGTTTCTTTAACTTCTGTAAATCTCCTGATTCCACAATTGCTATATTTTAAGCTTATTCATTTTCTTACTTCATTGCAAAGGGCTAGGTTGGGACCAGCAGACAGCGTAATGGTTACGTCACTGGACTCCCACATGGCTGACCGTGGTCTGAGTCCTGGACCTAGAAGTCTGAAACTCATACCGAGCGCGTGTGCGTGTGTGCCTAAAATCCTAGGAGGAGAATGGAGGAGAAGAGATTGTGGTGCGGCTATTCCCCCGGGGGGCGGGGGGGAGGCGTGTGATTTCTTGCTTTCTGTCTCTCTCTCTGTGTCTCTCAGGTGAACTCATGTGCTCTACAGCAAAAATCTCTCTCAAAAAAAAAAAAAAAAGGGTTATGCTGGGAACCAGCAGTTAGTGTAATGGCTATGTTGCTGGACTCCCACGTAGTCAACCGCGGTTCGCGTCCCAGACCCGGTGGCTTGAAACACACCGGGTGCGTGTGCATGTGTGCCCAAGATCCCGAGAGGAGAATGGAGGAGAAGGGATTGCGGTGTGACCATCCCCCCCTGGGGGGTAATTTCTCGCTTTCTGTCTCTATGTCTCTCTCTGTCTGTCTAGCGAGTGCACGCGCACATAAAGGAAAAAACATCCAAAAAAAAAAAAAAAAAAGGGCTATGCTGTCATATCACACAAGGAAAAAACATTAAAAAGAAAAACATAAAACAATTTAACCTAATACATTAAAATCTCAAGTATCCTGATAAAAATTATTGCCTAATTTTATCAACTCCAATTTAAAATTCTAAATTTAATTAAAATTGTTAAAGTTAAAAAAAAAAAAGTTAAAATAAAAAGGTGTTTTAGGGACCAGCAGATAGCATGATGGTTAAGTCTCTGGACTCCCATGTAGCCGACCATGATTCGGGTACTAGACCTGGCAGCTTTAAACTCATCCGGGGTGTGTGTGTGTGTGTGTGTGTGTGTGTGTGTGTGTGTGCAAGATCCTGAGAAGAGAATGGAGAAGGGATAGCAGCGTAGTCACCTCTCTCTCTCACTCTGTTCCTCTCTGGTCAAATTAAAATGAATGAATGAATAAAGTTAAATAGAATAATTAAAAAAAAAAATAGTAATAGCTGGGACCAGCAGTTAGTGTAATGGTTATGTTGCTGGCCTCCCACGTAGTCGACCGCGGTTCGAGTCCCGGACCCAGTGGCTTAAACTCATGCCGGGCACGTGTGCATGCGTGACCAAGATCCCAAGAGGAGAATGGAGGAGAAGGGATTGGGGCGTGGCCATCCCCCCTGGGGGGTGATTTCTCGCTTTCTATCTCTCTGTCTCTGTCTGTCTGGCGAGGGCACGCGCCCTATAGCAAAAACCTCTCCAAAAAAAAAATAGTACTAGCTATTTTAGGATTTGGCAGGTGGTGTGGTGAATAAAGGTGCTGGATTCCCACATGGCCAATGGGGGAATCCCAGACTTGGTGCTTTTGCTTTATTGCTTTCCCTCTCTCTCTGTCTAGTCAAATTAAAAAAAAAAAAAAATGGAATTAAATAAATAATTCTTTTTAAAAATAGTAATAGCTATTTTATCGAGCTGTTATGCAAATTAAATAATGACTATAAAATGAATAGCAAGAGAGTCACTCGATACTTTAAAACCCCTAGGTGCTGCTGCTGCTGCTGTCATCATTATCACGCACAGTAAGTAAAATGTCTCCTTAAGGGGCCAGTAGATGGCATAGTGGCTATGTTGCTGGACTCCCACATGGTCGACCAGAGTTGAGTCCCAGACCCCGTGGTCTGAAACTCACACCAGGTGCATGTGCGTGCGTGCCCAAGATCCCAAGGGGAGAAGGAGTAGAAGGGATTGTAGCGTGACCATGCATCGTGGGGGGTGATTTCTCACTTTCCTTCTCACTGTGTCTTTCTCTCTCCAGTGAGTGCACATGCCCTATGGCAAAAACCTCTTAAAAATAAAAATGTCTCCTAAAATCCATGGATACTGTTACTTGACTAATCATGCCAGTTCTGGCCTACAGGCAGCATGGAGGTTAAAGCAGTTGGAACCCACATGGCTGACTCTATGGTTCAAGCTCTGGACCTGGCAGCTTGAAAACTGCCCTTGGCACATGTGCACAGGTACCCAAAAATCCCAAGAGGAGAATGGAGGAGATAGGATTGCGGCATGGCCATCCCCCTTAGGGTGGGAAGTGGTATCTCATTTTTGTTCTCTCTCTCTCTGTCCTCTGTGTCTCTCTGGTGAGTACACGTACCCTATAGCAAAAATAATAATAATAATGATGATGATAGTAATTAAGCCAGTTTCTAATTTTGGAAAAGACAACAAAAGTAAAGAAACTGCCGGCCTCACAATCCTATAGTCTTACTTGTAACTTGTGAAATCTCCAGGTCATTCTTGGAGTATAACCCTCAGCAGAGCAGTAAAGAGCTCTGGTTTAAAGACCAGGAGATCTGAGTTCAAATCCCCCTACTGTACTGCTATTAACTTTGTGGTCTTGGGCAAGCTACTTAATCCTCTGAGCTGCAGCCTCCACAACTATAAAATTAGGGTGAAGCCCATCTTTGTGGTGGGTCATAACGATTAAATACCAAGCCTAGGCTGCCAAGTACAATGTCTGACCATAGTAAAGTTCAGTTAACAGCAGCAAGAATGTCTTTTCATTTTAAAGAATGGAATTACAAAGTGGGTCTCCAAGTCCAGAAGGTTATTTTTTTAATTTATTTAATTTTATTTGTTATTATTTTTTAACTTGATACAAGACACATGTGCTCACCAAAGACAGGCAGGCAGGCTTGGGGGGTGGGGGGCACAAGCCACAGGGACTCGAACCACAGTCGGCCATGTGGGAGTCCAGCAGCTTAACCACTGTGCCAACTTCTGGCCCCAGTCCAGGATTTCTTAGAAATGCAGTACACATCCTCCATTCCTGCCATGCGCAAGGGCATGATTCTTTGCTGAGACCTGTTTCTCAATCTCAGCATGGCTGGCAGTGTGTACTGCTGTGGGGGGCCATGGGGGGCTATGGGGGGGCCATAGGGGCTTAGCAGCATTCCTGTCCTGTAACACTAGATGCCTGTAGCAGCTTCCTCCACTTCCTCTAAAACCATGACAACCCAGAATGTCTTCAGACCTTGCCAACTGTCCCCAGCTGGGAACCACCAGGCAAGGGTGAGAGCAAACAGGTCCTGCCAGTGCTCAGAACTATTATTCTAGAGTCAAAGTGCTCAGCTCCGGGAGAGGATAAGATCTGCAGACAACTGAGTGGAACCTGTGGCGGCAGCTGGCACGGTCAACCGGGGCTCCGAAGGAGAAGGTGCTACCTCTCACCACAGTGACGGAGAGGAGGTGGCATTTTAGCCAGGCCCTGTTATAATTACGGCTACTAGTAACAACTAATCCTTCCTTTCATACATATTATTTCATTTATCACACCCTGATAAGGACATTGATTAAGTGACTGCCCTGAGGTCCACAGAGTAACTTTAAGTACAAAGTTAAAACAAGATTACTGGGGTCTGGCAGGTGGCATGGTGGTTAAGATGCTGGACTCCCACACGGTTGACTGCTGTTTGAGTCTCTGGACCTCGCAGCTTAGTTTCTCACTTTCCCCCTCTCTGTCTCTTTCTGATGACTACAACAAATTTTAAAATGCTGGTAATCATAAATAAGATAAATAATTCTTAAAACCAAAAACAAGATGATGGGCCAGTTCCATGGCCTGACGGTTAAGGCAGCTGACCCCATGTGGGAGATGGCATAGTTTGAGTCCCAGACTAGGCAACTCACACATGCCAGAAGCATGTGCAAGTGTGACCAAAATCCTGAAAGGAGGGAAAGATGGAGGAGAAAGAATTGTAGCATGACCATTCCCCATGAAGAGTGCTTTCTCTTCTCCCTGTCTCTCTTGGGCAAATGGCACATGCTCTCTAACTAAAAAAACAGAAAAAACAAGGCTTGCCCCAAACCAAGGATGCCATCAGTGCCACCCCTTACTCAATAACAAAACGACAGTTTACTAAGCGTCTTGCCATAGAAGCAGCCCAGTTCTACATCCTGGGTATAGAAAATAAACCACAATTCCATCCCTGCTCTCTCTCTTTTTTTTTTTATGAATTATTTTATTTAACTTTATTTCTTTTTAATTTCAACAGAGAGAGAGAGAGAAAATGAGAAAGCAAGCCGCCAGGTCCGGGATTCAAACCGCAGTTGGCCATGTGGGAGTCCAGCACCCTTAACCACCATGCCACATGCCGGCCCCTCCATCCCTGCTCTTAAGGGCTCAGAG